AAATAAAAATAATTATGTTGCAGTAGTTAATAAGAAATTTTAAGATATTTAGGATGAAGATATTAGAGTATTCTCAAGAATAGCACTATCTACCTTACTTATAAGATTTTTTATGAATACTATTAACTTATTTTCTGAAGTACGGACCATTACTTTGTTTACATATTTGTATACTAACCTGTGGAACGTTATTCCTGAAGATTTTCATTAACATTGCTTCTGCTACTGTAACTACGTTGAGAACAAGAACCCAGTATTATGCACTTATCACAATATAATATTACAGTTTTTTTAAAAGTATTATAAAAACAAGAATATTTGAAAAACAACAAACGTAAACATTCATACACGATCTGTCAAAACGATCATAACAATATGCCCGAAATGCGTCGTTTTTAGTCACGTGATGCCCTCTCCATAGATTCTAACTCGATGGTAAGATAACAACTTATAATCATCATCTGTGATCACTGACAGCCTAGGCTTTTAGGCTAGACACTTCTAGGCTTTTTACTATACTACGTTCCACGTTTAGAAAATAACATTGCGGAGATAGGGCCATGTATTTCTTATGGACGATAGCAACGTGGCGTTGCCACGACACACACACAAGCACAATTTAGGGTTGTATAATTTGTATTTTCGTTTCCACAAACATGAATTAAATTAATGTTTTTTAACGTAATTGACCAAAAGTGCCCATTCGAAACAAGAGATGAAAAGTAGGGAAAATGATTTTAATTAGATAAATAGTATTTACAAAAGATAATTTTATTTTATCTTATTTTAATTATAGTAAAGACAGTTTATTTGTTTTTCGGTGAGAATACGATATGCCATGAATCATATAAATCAGTAGAAAATATTGACCGCTTGGAATGTGTATATCTAATTACTAATTGCAACTTAAAATAATACGATGTGCGTATGTCAGCTATTTTATGTCGTCTCTGACTACATAATGATAATAAAGCTTTTATTTAGTAGTTATTCTGACTCTTACAGTTAAATGTTAATTGAAAATGAAAATTCAAAAATTAAGCAAAGGGAATATCTTGGACATCCGTACAAAAGAGAGTGTCTGAGAGTTTTGGCAACACTGATCTCCATAAGCGTAATGTTATTTTCTTAACTTGAAACAAAGAATAGCAAGTTTTACTTAGTGTGGAGTTCAAAGTCCAAAATTTTATATCTCAAATGAGGAGATTTTTTGGGAGAATCATTTTAGTGCCAGTTATATTTTGCTTTTTTGACTATAGTTAACCATGTTTTTCTTTCGTTTGCTTGTTTTTCCTATTTTCGTATTCCTAGTTCTTTTGAATCCTGGTTAATACCATCAATATATCTCTTTATAGGCCTATTCTCGTTAAATTTTTCTCTAAGCACTGTTTTTGTATTTCTTATTTCTCATGTCCTAACTAACTCAGTCGTTTAATTCGTATTTCTTTTGTGATAGTCGATCTACTAAATATTCTATTTATTTCGTGGTTCATTCTTATAAGCCATTCTCATTTCTTCTGTATAGGTTCCTATATTTTCCTTAAATTTTTTTCCCATCTAAAAAGTTGTTCGTCTTGTTCACTAGTCAAAGTCTATACTTCTGATGCATACGTTACTACGGGTCTCATAACTGTTGTGTATATTTTTATTTTTTAAGTTAATAGATACTAATTTTGACTTAATAATATTGTGTAGTATAATATTTCTTCTGTTTCTTTGTTCTTTTTAGGTGCGTGCACGTCAATGAGATTTATATCAAAAAGCATTCCAACCATTTTCAGAAAAGCTATCCTTTCGTTAATGTTGGTAAAACTTTTACCGCGTTATTGTATCTCTCACTTATTATAAAACCTCGTGAATTGCCGTGATATATTAGGTATTTTCCATATGCCTAGATGTCTTTGTTCTTCCATCTCATTTTCTGAAACGCTAAAATATTTATTTTGTAGATTGAACATTTGTTCAATAATATTTTGTAGTTCTCCTATTTCTCACAATGTTCTTATATTTCACTTTCATATTAAATTTTTTCCGCTTTTCTTATTGTCTTTTCAAGTCAAATTATGTTGCTGTTACATACATCTAAGATAAACGTAAAATTTATTTCAAAACACACCAATATTTAATTAATTGTCAAAGAAATCACTCTAATGTTTTAATACCCATTTTTATTATACAATTTGTGGTGGCAGAAATAAATTAAATTATCTAAAGAAACATTTAATAAGGAATAAAATAATAATACATGTATATTAACAATTCTTCTTAAATTTCTCCTTCTTCTTCTTAATATGCCATACACCAAAGTGCGTAGGCGACTATCTCATTACTAGAATTCTATTCTTGGCGGCGTGACACAGCTCGCCTGTATTGTATATTCCTGTCCATTCTTTAATATTCCTTAACCAGGATAATTGTTTGCGGCCGGCTTCTCTCCTACCTTTGATCTTCCCTTGTAGGATTAACTGTGGTATTTCACATTTTGCTTCTCTCAATATGTACCCAAGGTAACGAATCTTGCTTTTTTTAATTAATTCAAAGAGTTCTCTTTCCACGCCGGCTCTCTTAAGGACATCATCGTTTCGAACTCTATCCACCCAAGTTATGCGCATCATTCTTCTCAATGACCACATTTCAAATGCTTTAAGTTTGTTAATAGACGTTTTTTTTAAGGTTACGTTTCCATGCCATAAAGCAAGATGGACCATATGTAGCACTTGACCATTCTGTAGCGTATTTCGAAATTTAGTTTTTGATTACATAGGAGCGGTTTGAATTTCACAAAAGCTTGTCTTGCCATTTCTATTCGGGTTTTTATCTCGTGTTGTGGATCCGATTGGTCATTGATTGTGGTGCCAAGGTATTTAAAAGCTTTCACGCGTTTTATACGATCGTCACATATGCATATTATCGGGTTTTCTGGAGGGTTTCTGCTAATGACCATATATTTCGTTTTTAAAATGTTGATTTTGAGGCCATATTTTTTACCTATGCTATTCACCCTATCAAGTAATAACTGCTGATCTTCCAAATTATCAGTTATAATCAGTGTGTCGTCTGCATAGCGTAGGTTGCAAATTGGTATGCCGTTCACCTTAATGCCTAATTCCGTGTCTTCTAATGCTTCCGCAAATATATTTTCAACATATAAATTAAAAAGCATCGAGAGAATATGCAGCCTTGGCGGACACCTTTCCGGATTTCAAATTCATCCGTCTATTGGTCTTGATCAATCCTCACCTTTGCCATTTGGTTCCATTATAGATTCTGAATAATTCTGATCTCCTTCTGGTCAATGTTGGCCCTATGTAGTAGTTCCATCATGATATCATGTTTAACATTGTCAAATGCCTTCTCGTATTCGATGAAGGTGAGGTAGACATCTGTTCGTTGATCTAAGCAGTTTTGTATTAAGGTGTTAAAACATAAAATTGCCTCTCTTGTTCCTAGTCCTCCCTTAAAACAGAATTGTGTTGACCCGCTAAGTTCTTCTAGTATCTTGTACATTCTTGAGTGTAATATCCTAAGGAAGAGTTTCAGCAAATGACTCATTAAACTGATTAAGCGGTGTTCACTGCATTTTGTGGCATTAGCTGTTTTTGAGATCATCACAAAGGATGACTGCAGCCATTCTCGTGGAATGTAACCAGTATCATAAATTCTATTGAACAGCCATACCAAGATTTCGATATTCTCCTCGTCTAGTAGTTTTATTGTTTCTATATTAATTTCATCTGGACCTCTTGCTTTATGCATTTTTGTGGTTCTAACTGCATATTCTATTTCACTTCGCATTATTGCTGGCTCTGATAAGTTTTCGGAAGGAAGTTTGCGCATTGGTTGTGTTGGTCTTTCGTCATTAAAAAGTCTTTCTGCTTATTCTGTCTACGCCATTGCTATCTCCTCTTCTGGCTCTATGTATTCGTTTCTGTCGTTGCGTATTCTTGTTCTGTGGTGGCTTTTGTGTATATTCGATATTTCTCCATAACACTAAAATAATATATAAGGTTAGCTCAAACATCTTTAACATCAGAAAGTCTTCAAATAATGTCTTCATTTAGCAATCCGTCTTCAAAATTGTCTTCATTTTGATCTCTCGCTAGATAGAATATTGCTGTAGATCGAAACGGTTGAATCTTTTTACCTTTACAGCCACTTCAATTGGATATAAATATTATCTAAACCTTCTCTTCCATACATAAAAAGTTCTGTTACATAAGTTTTAAGATGGAATTTATTAAAGGAATTTTTTTATGAATTGTTTAATGGTCTTAAAATGGCTTCATTGTATATTCAGAATCTCCAAGTGACAACCCATTTTTACTGTCTTCATTTAAACTTTTTTTCATTATCAAGATTATGAAAACATTGAATGTCTAAACTAAGTGAAGAAAAATAGGAAGAATACCCACTTTTATAATTTTTTAATCTTTTAATAAAAACTATTTACAGTATATTCTTAGTATTTAGATCACTTTGAGTTTACTTAATCTAAACCTCTTAAAAAAGTCTCTATCATTACAAAAATTAAAATCTGCCTCAAATATTATATTCTCGCACTAAGCTTATAAAAACTAAACATCAAACTCTTCGATTTTACTAAATCTTCTAATAACAGATCCATGCCTCTCAGCCACAATAAACAACAATTTTTAGGTTATATTTTTGATTTCGCGATAACCTACAACATAATAACAGACTACAATAAACACAATTTATCTTCTAGATATCCATCTTATTCTGTACTTTATTTATATTTGAAGTTATTAAGTATCACAAAGAATAAAATGTATCATATTGTAAAATCTTTATTTTTTCTTAGTGTCGATACTGTTTAACTCATTGAGCCGTTTTATCCAAATATTTCCGCCACTCTAAATAACAGCAACTCATTCACGCTCATTAGCGACGTCATTAGGAAGGCGTTAAAGTTAAGAACATCAGAAAGCGGGGAATCCCAAGAATGTGTTGTTAATGCGTTGAAACCGATATGTACTTACCCGAGTATTATAGTTGCCGAATTCCGCCTGCAACGCCAATCCATTAAGTTCAACAATTTGCTTAAACGAACAAGGTAATTGGTGTTCTATAATCGACCTCCGCAGTTGCAAATACAACAGATGTCGGGATTCGTTGCCGCGAAATCCTCGAAGGGTCGGCAGGAAAAACCTCACCTGAAAAAGAAATTTATTGTAGAATGGTGCTTTTATGTTTCATGTGATTTCTGTGATAATAAGTATTAGTTTCAAGAGAATCGAATACGTGATTCAGTACAGTTACCAAAGAAATAAATTAGAAGTACGATCAATAATGTATAAGTATTTTCAATTAATATTTACGTACAATTTTATACAGTATACAATATAATACAAAAAGTGTACAATATTTCAGTATGAAATCTCTATTATTGTTCTGAAGCTATTTTCTTGTGGCATCTTACTATCATTTGCATTTTATTATGTTTATTGGCCTACAACTGCTTGCACACCTTTGTTCATCTTCTCTATTGGCGTTTACCATTGTGAGCACTTATATAAAATATCTTACCCAAGTTATACTACCCTTTTCTTAGTCCATCTCAAGACATCATACAAGAAATATATTAAACTCTTCTATAAGGGTATACTTACCCGCATAAATAATGTTACAGGAGTACCCTGCTGTAATTCTTCTTGAAAAATTTTGGAAATACGTGTGTCGGATGGTAGAAATACGAAATCTCCAGAAATCAAAGCAGATAACCCGAACATAAAGTTTTCTTCGATGTGTTCCTTCTGGATGATCAACTGCAAGAAATAAAACAAAATTAATATATATATATATATATTATATATATATATATATATTTATATATATATATATATATATATTTATATATATATATATATATATATATTATATATATATTTATATATATATATATATATATATATATATATATATATATATAACACTGTTTTTTATGGGTTGGAGTCAATAAAAGGGGCTATTTGTTGACTATTTTTTAGTCGAGCTTTCAATTGTGATTACAATTTTTATCAAGAGCTTCTAAAAAATACAAAATATCTTACAAAGTTGAACTAGAAATAAAAAATTTTTTGTTAACTCACCAATAAAATTAGTTTTTTATATAAAACTACTGCTTAACATATTAAATACAAAAAATATTAATAAAAAAATGTCTTATTCTAATAAATGCTTCTCTGAAAAATTTTGATGAAGTTTCTTAAGAAAAAAAAATTGAATTTGTCAACAAAAATAGAATAGCTACAACCAGCCTAAATGTCATAAATACTAACTTAAAAATTTTTATTTTTGACATATTGTCAAAAATAAAATTTTGTTTAAAAAATTCTTCTTTGTTTAGTAACAAAAAAGAAGAAGATTTATTCACCATTGATAGATGCCCGAAAAAATGTAACAAATACATGGAAAATTCAAAATGTGATATTTTACTGACTGCATATATAAATTAAATATTTTTTTTTTTTTTTTTTTTTTTTTTTTTTTTTATATGGCTTTGGATTATTGATCCATTCAGCCACGGTATTATAATAAATACTGTTTGCTACAATATTAAATACTATATACACATGCGCAGCACATATACAAACTTATGCACGCACATACATATATAGGTATTGTTATATAAAAATAAAAAAAAAATACAAAAAGGAAGTGGAAACATTAAATTGACCTCTATTTAAACTCTTCATTCAGGACCCTAACCAACTTAAATTAATTTACAAACAAGAAATATACAAATAATACTAAATGCTAATACTAAATTCTAATAATTAATAATTGTCACAGCGCTAAGACATAAACCCGGTTCAACACCTCAGAGGTTTAGGCCTTCTTTGTGATCGTTTTTTTTTTATTTTTTTTATTTTTTTTTAATTTTTTTTTAATTATTTATTTTTTTTTCTTTTTTTTTTCTTTAATTTTTTTTTTTTTAATTTTCAGTTTTTTTTTTATGATTTTTTATTTATATATATTTTTTTTAATTTTATTTATATAAGTTTTTTTTTTATTTTTTATTTTTTTTTTTATTTTTTATTTATTTATTTTTTTTTATACATATATATTTTTTTATTTTTTTAAATAACAATGTTCGTATTTTACAGGGAGGTACTTAATATTACATAAGATTAATTATAAAAAAACAATAATTGCTAAACACATTCAATCCGACTCATTCATCCAAGTTAGATTTTTCTCTTAGTCCTTTTTAAAAATTCCCAAATAATTTGTTGTATTTTATGGTTTCGTCGAGACAAGTATAAAAGAGAAGTTTGGTTTTGTGGTAAAGGTATTTGTTCTTGAGACAGGGTGTGCATCAAATATTTAATTGCATCATCATTATGCTTGCATCCAAACAACCAATGATTAATATCATCAACGTAACCATTGCAATCACAAAGTTCTGATTCGGATAGATTTAGTCTATAGAGGTATGTCTTGACAGTGGCATGGTTAAAGAGACATCTAACAAACATGGAATAAATATTTCTATTGGGGTAACTTCTTACGGCAAACGGCTCAGTAGGTAAAACTGGATGTATTTTTGTATAAAGATTATTGCTTCGATTACAGAAAGCAAACCATTCAATGTCCCAATTTTGTTTTAGACTTTTCTTGCAAGTGTCTGTTAGATCGCTTCTATCTAGCCAATTTATTTCTGATCCTTTTAAGGTTGCCTCTTTAGCATAAAAATCTGCTTTGAGGTTACCGGAAATACCAAAGTGTCCTTTTACCCAGACGAAATGTACAGTAGTATGTTCTTCCTGCAGCTTAAGTTGGTTTTCTAAAATTTTAACGACAAGACTATTTTTATATAAATGTTGACGTGAGTTTTCTAAAGCTAATAACGCAGACATTGAATCTGATATAATTACTACTTGGTGGTTAGAAATTGTTTTGTTGACCGCCCATTCTAGAGCTTTATGAATTGCGAACATTTCTGCAGAGTATATAGAGCATTGTTTATCTAACTTGAACATTAGGGATTCTTTGTGATCCGGAATATATACAGCACAGCCGACTCCCAATCTAGATTTAGAACCATCCGTGAAGATCCTGCATGGATTATTAAGCTTGGCTATCTGATGCTGAAAATCAACTGTATTCTCATTGTCAAAATTGGGAAACCAAACATTGACTTTGGCGTAAGAAACATTGAAATTCGATTGAAAGAATGTCAAGTCACACGGAGTGTTTAGACGTTGAGAAACGTTAGGATATGCCACTGCCAGAATAGGAGAATTTCTGTTATGCCACCATTTGTCGACTAGATTAGAAACAGCAATATCACATATTTTTTGTAGTAGCTCAGTTTGATTGTAAGACTGGCATTTGAGAATAAATTTTTTAGCTAAAAATAGTCGTCTTAAATGTAAGGGAGGTTCCATAGATTCGGCTAGAAGATTCTCTGTAGGTGTAGATTTGAGCGCCCCTAAAACTAATCGCAGAGCCTTATACTGAAGGCGGTCTAGTTTTTTAAGACGACTATTTGTGGCAGATCCGTATAAAAAGCATCCATAGTCGAGAATGGATCTGGTGTATGCACGATAAAACATTAAGTTTAATCTTGGGGTCGGCACCCCATCGATAGCGATTAACTACTTTAAGAATATTTAGACTTTTCTCACATTTCATTAAGCACTCGTTAATGTGTTCGTCCCATGTTAACTTGGTGTCCAATGTAATACCAAGATAAGTGTAGTGATTGTGAACGGGTATACTTAGGCTGTTAAACATAATGCTGGATATAACTGGTAAACGATGTCGCGTAAAAAATACCACAGCTGATTTCTTCGTAGTAAGCTCAAACCCTTGTTTAAAGAAATACTCTCTTGCGCCACACATAATAGTTTTTATTGAGTTTATACTTTGTTGGTATAAATTATTCACAGTGTAAAAGCAGAAGTCGTCCGCATATTGTAATATATTACATTTAATGCCTATATTGTGAAGATCTACGGTGTATAAAATTAAACAACAGGGGGCTAAGGACAGAGCCTTGTGGTAGACCTGATGCACTACTCTCGGGCCAATCAATCTATCATTACATCGAATGAATACCTGTCTATTCAGAAATAGGTTTACTAACACATATGAACACAAAGGTGGAATACCTATGTGCTTTAGTTTTTCGAATAATAGATTTAAATTGACGTTATCATAAGCTCCTGAAATATCAAGAAATATGGCAGATAGATAATTATTATTTGAGAAGGATAACTGAATATCAGTCGTTAATTGAGACACACAATCCATAGTCCCTTTATTTCTACGAAAGCCGTATTGACTAACTGGGAAAATATTTTTGTTTTCACACCACCATTCTAATCTGCTTTTCATAATTCGTTCAAATGTTTTAAGCAAACAAGACATAAGAGAGATAGGTCTTAGGGCAGTACGCTGATTTACTTTGGGTATAGGAATAACCAAGCATTGTTTAAGAGAATCACAGTTGTCTCCTTTAAGTAAAATATTGTTGTATATTTTGCACAGATAATGTATGGCAATTACTGGCAGGTTTAAAAGCATGCTGTAGTTAATGCCGTCAATACCAGGAGCTGTATTTTTAGAACTCTTAATATTTGCTTTAAGTTCGTCAGCTGAAATGGGGGTTAGTAAAAAGTGATCATTAGTGAAGATACTCGGCATAAATACTGGTAGATGGACATAATCTGGAGAGATTTTTCTAAAAAGACTTTCTACTATGTCTTCATTATTAGCGGTGTACTTTTTCTTACCTTGAATTTTGTTTACCCTTCTCCAAAGCTCTGAGGGTGAAGTTTGCCTACTAAGTGAGGAACAAAATCGAGCCCAACTAGATTTGGCTTTTGAGCGGAAAGTTCGTTTACACATAGCTTCATTCCTCTTATATTCAATAAAGTTTGAAAGGGTAAGATTGGATTTATATATTTTAAAAGAATTTTTCCTTGCATTCGAAACTGTGAGACATTCATCATCCCACCATGGTGGAGTTTTAAAAGATTTTACTGAGGGTTTGATAATTTTAAAAGATTTGTTGGCTGCAGTAGTAATAGAATCTAATAAAAAGAATATCATTTCATTGGTTTCGTTTGTATTTGATTCGTATCTGAAGGTGCTTTCTACAGAATCTCTAAATTTTTCCCAATTTGCATTGGACATAGACCATTTATTTGTAGATGTGATAATTGTGTTTTCAAATTTTATATCCTGCACGGAAAGTCTAATGGGAAAATGATCGGATCCATAGGTATCTGAAAGAACGGTCCAGTCAAAGGCTGAACATAAACTAGAGCTTATAATAGTAAGATCTACAACCGATTTGATATGTCCTGGAGGAGTAGCTCTAGTAGCCGACCCGTCATTTACAACAACTAGATTAGGAAATGCATCTAATGCTTCTACTAGTATATTACCATCGACGGAACATAAATTGGATCCCCATAATCCATGGTGAGCATTAAAATCTCCGGTAATGATACAATCATTGTTAATTTGAGAAAAAAGACTAACGTAATCTTGCATTGTTACTCTAACTTTTGCTGGACGATACACACTCAGAATAGAATAAATTTTTTGGTCAATATTAATATTTACACCACAAACTTCGAGATTAGGATTGAAATTGTTAACGAATGAAATGGGCTCATAAATAATGTTATTTGCTAAAATTACGGCAACGCCTCCATATCCCTTACTTCTACTTTTATTAACTATATTAAAATTATTGAAGCAAACAGTATCAGATGGTTTGGACCAAGTTTCTGATAAAAGAGCTATGTCA